ACGGCGCTTCGCGCTTGGTGATGTGAGAGCCTGGTCCGGTGAGAACCCGGCGTGCTCCGTCCCGGCTTTGTGGGGATGCGAGATCAATGGTCTAACGACTACGGCATGCACGGCTATGAGTACATCCCCCGCTCCCGGCGGCGTGTGTGAGTGTCAGTGGGAAGCTCTCCGAAATGAGGAGAACGAGGAACGCGTGGCGAAATGAGACGGCTGGCGTGTTGACATACATGCCCTGAGGGTGGCTGCTTCAAAGATGGTTTGCGACACGACGGGATTTGCGATAGACGAGACGAACATCTACGGGAGTGTTTCGGCATCTGTACTGCGAGGTTGACGGAATAGACGCTTACTATCTGCTACACCTGCTGCCTACCTGGGCGTGCGCTTTGTCATACCGAGATGGTGAGGTTTGGCGTAACTGCCGCTGCTATGTACTGACTGATCCTACCGTGTCGATCCCACCGTTGTTAGCAGAGCGTGCTTTGTGCGGAAAAGGCCGAAAGGCAACGTGCACACAAACCCATCCGTTGCTGTACGCAACTCCTGCCCTGGCTATGCAAATGGCGTGCTTGCCGAGCAGGACAAAGTAATTTTTCGGATCAATCATTCGGGACTCCGTACTCTGGGATTGTAGTGTTCCACCGTTAATGGTGTCGTGTTGCGTAGATTGCGCGTACATGTAGTATTCGATGTACCAGGCAGTAACAGGTGCCAAGGAGGGTCGTTCTTCGTAGTTAACTTGTTTTCTCTCTCTGGCGACGGAGGAAAGGAAGAAATCAGCAAGTCCTTTAAACGGCTTCTCGCAGCAGCAAGAAAACACGGGAGGCGCTCTGCAATCCATACTTTGAAACGACGACTTTTCCCTTGATTCCGCGTTGGTTTGTGCCATCGCCATAGATGAAGGAGAGGCGGGGAGTGAATCGCGTACTGCAGCCCTTAGCCCCCGTGATTTCAACTTTTTTTCCGAGTTGTAGGGGTGTGGCTTTCTTTTGTCCACCAAAGGGCGCCAATAGTCCTGGTGCACCTTAGCGGCGTGACTGGTTGCCTTTCGGAGGCGTTGTTCCGGGGGAGCGGGGGGCTCCGTAGAGATCGCTGTACATGTGAGTGCGGCTCAATTTATCAACGAAGAGTGCGCGATGCTTGGAAGAGTGCACCTTGTGCTCAGGGCGTTTTTGTTTCCGTCGAGTTGGTTGTCGTCAATCAGCGTCTGTTGTTGTCGACAATCAGCGGTTGGTTGTTGTTGTCGTCACCGGGCTGTGTTGTAATAGTTGTGTGAGAAATATGTGCGCACTTGTAGCGGGGTTGGTAGTCGGGTTGGGGGGGGGGGGGG